ATAATAATAAATTTATAAAATTAAAATAATTGTAATAAAAATTTTATATTAATTTTGCTATCATTTTATTATTTCAAATTTTTACAATGTAATAAAATTTATTAGGTATTTTTCTTCTTGATGATCTAAAATATTCAGAATAAACTGATATATTATAGTAGAATTAGAACTAAAAAGTTCTTTAGCAATTGGTCTTATAATAGGGTGATCAACTGTTCCAGATTCTAGTACATTTCCAGAACATTTAGCAATGCAAACAAACATTCTGGATTTTGAAAACATTCCCATTTTTTAAAGGCTGCAGAACACCATTCATATACTCATTATTACACAGGGCATTAGCATCAATACATTCAAAAATTTAGAAGCAATTCCATGTTTACCATTCTGTTGAGAATGAACAATAAAACAATAAACTAATAAACTTTAATATATTGAATAAAATTATAAACATGAAATTATCCAAGAACATAGCAATGGAAATAAATTTGAATAAAAACTTTAAAATCTTTTCTTTTGTGGAACACTCCAGATAGATTTGCAGAACACTAGTGAAGTGCTGACGAAACTTCCGGGTCAATAGATCAAAGTTCACGGGGTTTCTCATAGAGTTTTTATTTTTATTGCATAATTTCAACATAATTTCAACATTTATAGAAGAAACCACATTAGCTGAAGACATTTCTGTAAATCATGATACATAATCTAAAGAACATTAAGAAGATCACTTGAAAAAACAAAAATGTTAAGCATGTAAACATTATCAGAATATTGATATAAGCAATGGATTAAGATTTTTTTCAGAAGAAGCGAATAAACCAGAATATTTAACAACTGCTTGATTTATTGATACTGCTGAAAAATGGTTTAAATTAACAACATCGAGACATCCGCTTTTTGCTCTAAGTATTAGAATTTATTTAGTTTAGTGCGTATAAAACAAGCGACTCCAATTTAAGAACAACTTAAAATTAATTTCGGTATCTCAATATTTAAAAAAATATGTCAAAAGGAAGTTATGATAATGATGACAGAGAATTTTTATCAGAATTTCTTGATGTAATCAAAGAATCCACAAAGAATATGATAAAGTTGTTATACCAGAAAATTTTGAAGCTGAAAATATGCCTCTAAACAATGCAGAAATGAATTCATTATATATTTGGTTATTTAATAATAAGTATAGAACAAACCTCAAAAACTTGTAACAAATGTAGGATCTTGCAACTTGTAACATTAGTAGGATCAAAAAAAATACCTCTATTAGAATATTGAAAATTAGTTGAAATTAAAAGATTTTAAAAAAATTCCATGTTCTTTTTTGTAATAATAAAACTTTTGATATGTTTTTAGTTTAGTAGCCACCTCACTGATGACGAGAAAGCCTTAAGTTTAAAATTCCCGGAAGTTTTTTCTCCAGGTGAGTCTGCAGTTCCGGATGAAGAGGAGAACAAAATACAGCTTTTTTTTGGTGACTTGCATTTTTAATTGCTTATACGAGGCATGTTCAGAAAGTAAGTGTACTGTGACCATAACGGGTTGTGATTTTTTGTCTTTTTAATTGGTGGCAACACTAACTTGTAAGTGGTAGAGAGAGATCTCTTGACAGAGCTAGCATGGCAGGAACACGGTAGTACGTAAACTCACGTTGTAGTGTCCAGTTGCGTGAAAGATGTCGGTAAGAAATCCCGCCAAGTGCGAGCCACATGCTGTGATCCGCTTCCTACTCGCGGAAGGAATAACACCTACTGAAATTTTTTCGCGAATCAAAACGGTTTATGGCGAATCGAGGAAACTGTTCGTGAAGACTGCCGATTGACAGTGGATAAAATTTCTGCGATGTTTCTACAACTCTCCAGAACGCCCGTCCTCACACAGCCTTAGCCATCAAGGTGCTCTTGGACTCATTCGGTTGGGATGTTTTGAACCACCCACGTATTCCCCTGACTTGGCGCCTTCAGATTATCATCTTTTCACCTTCCTGAAGACACACATAGGTGGAATTAAATTTTCAACCGACGAGCAGGTGCAGAAAGAGGTTCTGAAGTGGAGGAAGAAGCTGGCGGGAGAGTTCTTCGAGGAGGGCATAAAGAAGCTTGTGCCACGGCTCACCACATGCATTGAATGGAATGGCGATTATGTGAAAAAATAGTCAACAAGTGTATCAACAATATCCTGTAATATTTTTCAAATACACTTTTTCTAAAAAAATATAAAAATCTAGTACACTTACTTTCTGAACATGCCGCGTATATTGGCATCCCCTTTATAGAAAAACCTAAAATGTTTAACAGTACCTAGGAAAACAAGTATCTTTCGAACGAAATATTCATACTATAGGCATCAGGGATGGAGAAAGTGACCTGCGAAAATCGGCAACTCTGATTCCTGTAGTTATTCAGTGATTGTTTTACTTGGCGGGGAGTCACTACCGCGACTCTCGATAATAGACAGCAAACAATGTATCCACTCGTATAGAATAGAACAAGGCTCTTTCTATCATCGAACTCGATGATAGAAATCAAGTGTGCTCATTCGGGCAGTTTTGAGTTCGGGAAAATGTCCGAATGAGTACACTTTATTTCTATACATCTCGCGCTTAGACCTCCATATTTTATTCTAAACTGTGTGGTCGTTGCCTTGTTTAAACAATAATAAAACTACCATAAGAAATTTTTATTTTCTGTGATTTAAAATGTCGTTTGATAGCTTATATATACCTCGTAATAAAATAAATAACTATATTACTACATTTGAATCATTATAGCCAAACGATTGCCGGATTATATCAGTCTACATTACCGCTACTATTAATAATTGAAAACCGAGTAATTTGGCACTAGAGGTAGGTGTTAGGCGGCATTGCTTATTAAATTTAATAATTATAATTCTCTTCAAAAAGAACTAACAAGAGTATATGAAAATACAAAAGACAATAAGAAAAGAAATCAAGGCAGCAATAGTGAGATAGATGGCTGAAGAGTGTGAAAAATAACCAATAAATGGGAATCAAATGTCACTGACATATTTAATTAAGGATACCAGAACGGAAGTGCGAATGGACACCTACGAAGGACATTAATTAAATTTTAAAATCTTAGGTATTACATGCAATAGCAAACAATCGTAAAGCCGTTGGCCCAGATAAAATATCAGATAAAAATTATCAATGTAAACAACATAGATCTTCTGGTAAACCTGTTCAACAAGATTTACAACATAGGTGAAATCCCAAAGAACTGGTTAAAGTCAACCTTTGTAGCACTTCCGAAAAAAACAACATCCTAAAAAGCGTAATGACTACCGCCTAATTAGTATCATGAGCCATATGTTGAAAACTTTCCTGCGTATAATACATGCCAGAATTAGAACAAAGTATGAAACAGGCACGGAAACCATAGTTTGGCTTCCGAAAACCATTCAGAACACGTGAAGAGCTTTTTGGAATTAATATTATACTACAAAAACGCCTAAATAAAAAAAAACAAATATATATTTGCATTCTTTATTCACTATGAAAAATCCTTCGACAGGGTTAAACATAGAAAACTAATACAGATGCTCAAACAGGCTGGTTTGGACGATAAAGATATCAGACTGATAAACAAACTGTACTGGCAGAAAAAGAACAAATCAGAATTGGAGGGATAGTAACATCAGAAATAGAAAGACAGAAAGGAGTACGTCAGGGTTGTATCCTCTCATCTCTCCCATTTAATCTTTACTCTGACCATATTTTCAAAGAAGCTCTGGACAGGTTAGAATTACGTATCAAAACCAATGGTATATGCATCGACACCACCAAACAGACGGGTAGATGGCTAAGAGGACACGATAGCAACCTACCGCTCTGGGGACCCGGGATCGCATCTGGACAGGGTGCGAATTTTACGGGATGTGATCCGACCAGCTATGGCAGACCCTGCCATCACCACCCAGTCTCCCCATTCTGAGCCTGACCGAACCCACAATGGGCGTCGCGAAAAAGAAACCCTCTTAGTGCCCGCAGGGCGGAAAAAGTTTAAAAAACATCACCAAGTATGCGGACAATATTAGAAACCTTCAGCACCTATTAGACAAAATCAATGAATCTGGTAGCAGAGCAGGTCTAATTATAAAACATTACTAAAATACGCTTGGGTTTCATAAACTGAAAAAATAATGTAGTACTTTATATAAATTCTAAAATATATTTTAAACTATTTTAAAAATAAAGATAGTATCCATGTAAATAAAACATTCGTTTCTAAAACATAAATTTTCTTTTGAGGTAATTTCCTTTTGAAAATTTCTGAAGTAGCCAACCACCTTCGAAAGTCAGTTTCAAAATTTCTAAATTAACATTTCTACATTTCAGTACAAAGAATTACAGATTAATCTATAAAAAACAGTATATTACATACTTCATATTTTAGTCACCTAGACAGCAAACATCCCGCTATTAAATGCATCGAAATATCGCTTCCATTACTCTCCAGCTGGGTCACATCTAATACCTCGCTACAACGCAGTGATAATCGCGAGCGAAAGTGTCCGAAAACATGGCTTTGCTAGCGGGATATTCGGAAGGCAAGCGTGTGTCACGGACACATCTGAACATCGATGTTTGGCTGGGTATATTCGGCGCTTTCTCCTGAGGTGACTGCGCTAAACAACAAACATCCCGCTATCAAATGTATCGAAATATCGCTTCCATTACTCTCCAGCTGGGTCACATCTAATACCTCGCTACAACGCAGTGATAATCGCGAGCGAAAGTGTCCGAAAACATGGCTTTGCTAGCGGGATATTCGGAAGGCAAGCGTGTGTCACGGACACATCTGAACATCGATGTTTGGCTGGGTATATTCGGCGCTTTCTCCTGAGGTGACTGCGCTAGACACCAAACATCCCGCTAGCAAATACATGGAAATCTCACCTCGATGAATCTTTCGACTTCTGCATTGAATGTTTTTAACAATGGAACAATAACAATAAAATTCAACAATGTTTTTCTTTGTTGCGTTCTATTAATTAAAAAAATAATAAAAATTTATGTAATTTTTTATATATAAATTAAAAAATATTATGAATTTTGTATTTAGACTATATTAATATAAAATGAAATCATGTTTTAATTTAATATAAATCAAATGAACGACTTTGTTAATTTAATGTCGTTTTTAAAATGACTTTAGTAATGCATTAGTAATTAAATGTATTCTCTTTTAATATAAAAGAGAGGTACTGTATTTAGAAAATTCAGTTTCGTTTTATATTTTAAATAAATAAGTTAAAAATGAATAGCAATAAGACAAAATTTCATTGCTTTTCTAATAGAAATAAAATTGTTAGTCAGCATCACCTGTAAATTCAAATGAATGAGGATGAAATCAGCAGAGATAAAGTATCTGGAAATAGTTTTGAATGATAATCTCCGCTATAACAGACAGATCGATAATATTTCTTTGTCTCTTGCCAGCTTCACTGGAATAACAAGATAAATTTAGGTGTTTTGAGTATCACTCATTTGAAGAAACTACATCATACATGTATTGGTAAGCACATGTATGATGTAGTTTCTTCAAACGAGCAAAAATAATATACGGAATAAGTGTTGGCGAGCCACAGATTCATTAAAGGTAATAATGATAACAGTTACCTCGGAAATACAATAAAAAAAATATCGTATTGTTTCGATCTGGAATACCCGAAGGAGTTGTGGTTACTCTATCCCTGTGGTCAATCATCACCGATAGTCCAAATGATAATACACTCGAACAACCTGAATAAGGAGTTACAGAGTTTTTAAAATTAATGTTAAAAATTTTGTTTTGTCGCGGCTTTGTTAATCGACTTTCGGCTTAATATTTGTTGATTTTTTTTCTTGTTTTTCTTTGTAGACACTTGAAAAAGGCATAAAGGTAGTGTTTTTTTCTTTATAAAATAAAAATATATACATTTAATGATTTAGGAAGATAATAATAATTTGTAGAGAAACATTACTTATGAAGTTTGACAATACGCAGATGAGAATTTGTCGGAAGGCCGAATGTCCGAATGGCTTTGGAGGCAACTACCGCTCTCGGGGATTGAATCCGGATGGATCAAAATTTAGAAGAATTTATTGGGGAACAGTCTGTTTGGATATGTCGACTCTTGCCTCTTACTTTTCCTGTCTGGCCGAAACGATGATAAAGATAGCCTTACAATTTAGCGCCGGTAATGGACACTAAGAGGCTTTTTTCATGCTCTTACAAGTTAGTATGGTTAGGCTGGGTGATGAGGGACGCCTCATAAAGCAAACTATGACCTGCCCCGACAAATGGCATCACAGGGTTCAAGAGATTACGCCTTACTCATAGACCTGGCCTTACACCTCTTGGGTGTTTTAGACTCTTAAAGTCGGACCTGAGATAGCTACTTTCGGCCTGTGCAGCCTGTTCTGCACTTATTAATACTTTCTTTTCTTTTCATCTTTAGCTCATTGATAACGGGCGACGGGGCCCCCTTCCCTACAAGTAGGGAGACCCATCATAGTTCGTCCACTTAGCCTATACTGTAGATCGAAGAGATCTATCACTTTTTCCATCAATTCCTTTAGTTTCTTTAGGTTTCCTTTGCTAGCTGCTAGCGTTCGAAGTACTTGTTCAGGGGGCTTAATCCAATCAACTTGATGGCGGCCGGATGGCCGAGCGGTCAAGGTCGCAACCTACCGCTCTGGGGGACCCGGGTTCGAATCCGAACGGGTCGAAAAATCCCCAGGAATTTTTCGAGGGGTTGTCCGTTCAGATATGTCGGGCCCCGTCCCTCACCACCCGGCAGCCCCATTATGGGCCTGGTCGAACCCATAATGGGCTTGCAAAAAAAGAGGCTTTCTTAGTTCCCACAGGACGGAAAGAGTTATAAAAAAAATCAATTTGGTCAGCCCCTAGGCGGAAATCCTGAGTAAGAGGACAGTCAAGTACATAGTGTCTCGCGTCACCCGAGGACACCCACAGAAGTAGCTGCCATTTCCTTGTCCAAACTTGGACTTGATATGGGGGAACCTCTCGTATCCGGTCAGAATTTGTATCGTTGACCAATTACAACGTGACTAGAGTACAACCAACTTCAGGCACGAAGGCATAGGTTAGCCTACCTACTGTATTTTGAGTCAAGCGCTCTTGCCAGTATGTCATTGATCGTTGCAGTAGAGTACCTTTTATGTATGTTATCGAGGGTTCCACCATCCTCGTTACAAATGGGCCACTGGCTCCAGCCTTTGCCAGTTGATCGGCACGCTTGTTATCCGGGATCCCGATGTGGCCTCGGATCCACCTCAGGGTAAGGTGTCGTTTGTGCCTCGCCCTCAGTACCCTACCTCTGATCTCCTGTACCAGAGGATCGCGATGGTACCCGTCGCTCAGGGCCTGAAGCGACGACTGGCTGACTGAGTAAACCGTTTTATGTTGACCGTTCAATGTCTTAGTTCTCAGTATTGGCATTCCTGACGGAGGTTAAGGCGTAAATCTTCCGACCTGGAAACCAGGAATCGAATCCGGAATCTTAGAAATGTTTATGGGCGACATGTCCCGGATAGATCGGGACTCAGTCTCTCTTGTTGTGGGCCTGGCCAAACTTATAGAAAAAAAACATCCTATTTTTTAAATTATAAAAGAAAGAATATTACTAAGTTTCAAAAATTAAATGTAAATTTAAAAAATAAATTATAAAAATTTTAAAACGATTTATTAAAAAGTATAAAAATTATTTTAAAAATATTTATATTAAAATTAA